TATTCTTTAGAGTAGTAAATTTTTTAGTTTTATACCATTGCTATTTTTTTTATAAAATTCTTTCTTTTTTAATTGATAATATTTACTTAGTGTTAGTCATCTCATCGTACAAAATTTGCCCTTTTGCTATGTCTAATACAAACTTGCATGACATTTTTAATAATTTCGATTATGTTCCTAATGATTATGATGATTTAGAGAGTATAGCCATTGCTGAAAGTCTTACGTTAGAGAGTGTTATAGGGAGCATTGGAAGCGATAATAGTGCATTAAATTATGATATAGAAATGCTCTTTCTTTTTAATAATGCCAATTTTGAAAGAGCAAGAACACTTATAGAAGAGGACAAAAATAATGATATATTTTTATTAAAAGATATTGATACTGATACCGAAGTAGATGTTAATACATTAACAATTTCAATATTTGATTCAGAGTCAACTACATCGGGATCAACTGATGAAAACGAATATTTTGTTATAAACACAACAAACACTAGTGAATCTTTATCGGAATGTCTAATTTTGAACATTAATAATGGTTCCATTCAATGCTGCTCAAGCCATTCGGAAAGATAGAGGCCACTTTCCCAACTAATTGGAGCTTAGAAGATCAATTCAGAGATTTTTCAAAAAGCTCAAACAAAAAACGATTTGTTAACAATAGGTGTATGTCATTCCCATTTCCTTTATGATCAAAATCAGCTTCATCTTCCAAATATCAAAAAGACACGTTTAATTGAAAAAAGTTGGATTTTTTGCCAGAGTTGCTTATTTTGTAACAAATACAAACATTTTTTTAGTCAGAATAGGACTTGTATACAGCATTTGAGACATGTTTTTGGAAAATATGTGCAAATTCCTTGTATTAAACTTAAGGTTTACTCTATATTTAAACAAGAGATGGAATCAGAAAATATTAACGATAACAATGATCTAGTAAAATATTGACCTAGATATATATGTTCAGAGTGTTTTGTTATACATGGTAGGCATTTTTATGAGCGAAGAGGCTGTAAAAATGTGCCACATTTTGAATGCATAGATATGCATAAGGATGATACAAGCAAAGCACTTTGAATTATAGGTCACTGGATCTTATCTATGGCAGAATCCACTGACGAGAATAATAAAAACAATCTCTTAGTATGTTTGACTAACATGCTTTCAACATTTTATAATATCAAGTCTTTTTCAGTAGTGGCAGATTATTCTAGCCTTCTTTTTGTAAAGATTGCTTTGAGACTGGGGCATAACAAAAATTATGAATCAAAAATATGAACTCACCTCTGAAATAGCCACGGACTTTGGCAAAATATTAGGAATTATGACATGAAAAGCATGACATGATGTACAAAAAAATAAAACCAAACTTGAAAATCCAATATTACTAATGGAATATCAGAATGGTTTTCCTTTATGTCTGGCAAACTTTTTTAATAGATTTATTGAAATGTTATAAAGAAAAAATACAAGATATTAATTAGAAAAAGAAAGCAAATGGGCCTTTCATTAAAGAATTTTGATACAAGCTGTATGAACAAGATAACTGCATTTCTTATTTCAATAGTATTAAATATAGCATTTCTGGCTACTAAAATTTGGTTAACTCATATTATGAGTTCACTTTGCTGAAATCCAAAACTACATCACTCCCTTTACAATATTCTTTGCATAGCAAACGTAATATTCTATACATATCGATATGAAAAAGGCCTGTCAACAAGATGTAAAACCAGAAAGTAGACTGCTACATAGTACTAATATATGGAATGTATCAGTAATCGATAACATAGATTTTATAGAACGAACTTATGCATATGAAAATATCTTTAATGTCACATGTAGAAGCGTACATGCTACATTAAGGATGGTGTTTTAATTTACTATGCCCATGCAACTTCAATGTTATAATCCTATAGATACCAGAAGTTCTAGTAGAGATGACTGATCTATATTTGGCACTTCTGTTTTTACAAATAATCTTCTTTCTCTTTATGAAGAAATGTTTCAAAATTTTCTAACTACACGCATAGATAATTAGGATGCAGATAGTATTCTTAAAGACATTGCTCAAAAAATACCAATGGGATGTAATGTATCACATTCGAATGTTGTTATACTTAAACCAGGCGACAATCTGAATTGCAATATGAACGTTCATAATGCATGCGATTTGTATTATGATGATATAGGAATAACTAATACCAGTTGTCTAGATATTGCATGTGACGAAGCAATTTTTCGTCGGTTGATTTTGTACAAAGAAAACAATAATGATAAGAATGTAAGACCTCTTTTAGGCCAGTGACACACTTCTCGTGATATGTGCATTGCATTGATAAATATTTTTTCAGGTTATGGTATTGCTAATATAGCTGCAAAATTTGGAGTCCAAGTTTTAGATAAACTAGAAAAAGTCATAGACTACCAGGCTACTTGTCGAGTTTTGGAATTGATTTAGATCACCATTGGAATCACAATATTTAAATATTTACGCAATAAAAACTAAACAATAAGTGATATTGAAAGTGAAAATAATAATATTCTCAAAGTTTGGTATCGTTATTTATGTTGGGCTGACTATTAGATAGGACACAAACTTGGTATTCAACGGGAAATTATGAAATGCAAATAAGAAATCTCGCGGCATTTTCACCTTTATTTCCAGTTGCTGAAAAGGGTAACTATGCTAGGTCAGTAACATATTTTTGACATATATTGAAGATGATCTACATCTTCAAGAATTGCTTAAATGTGTTTGTTCTGTGAATCTCACTCGTCCTGGATATTATTTCACATTTGATAAAGCGTTAGAAATATTTGGCGTCAAGTTTGTAAAACAAAATATTGGAGGGAAAATAATGGATAATGAAGAATTAAAGTTGCAAATAAGCTTCGTACGGACAAAACGAGTGTGATTAGATTTATTAATATTAGAATATATAGGGGATACAGTTGCAGCCAGAGAAGAATGAGCAATACAATCACGAAAGGATGTATTATGGCAGTTAGCTAATGAGTTGCTCTCTGCTTTTTCTTTAGTAGATCCAAAAATGCATGAACTTTTTTTAAATGCACAAGAAATAACTTCGATGGGGTTTTCAAAAATATTTATATGCTATAATCTTGGTATATCTGACTCATTGCCATTCAACGCCAGGATGTTTATAAAATTGATTCTTAGAATACAAAAGGTCATCGTAAACGTGATGTAGTAGTGCAAAAGTTATCAAAAAATCAAAGCAAAGAAATACATAAACAGCGAATAAATAATACCTTGACAGACAATCAGTTTGAAGATAATACAATACAGCAACAAGAAGATTTGACTGAATATAAACGTCAATGCAGACGTACTACAGATAATAAAAAAAAGATACTAGAAAATTTATTTAATTTTGACTCATTTTCTGAAGATATGGCTGTTGAAGTTTTGAGGCAACTTCAAGATTTTAGCAATGATTGGGATATGCAACGTGTTCGAATATATTGGAATAATCATTATAAGCGGACATGATATTGACATTTCTGATTTTTAACTCAACCTTAACACTAAAGTTTTTTATTGTTATCATTATATGTATTTTTAGCATTAGTTTCGAGTTAAAAAAAATTTATATAGAAATATCAAAATTATCATTATATGAACATTTTGTCATTTATTTAACATTAAAGAATTTTC